CGCTCGTAAAAGTGTTTGACACCTTTTAATTTTGTTCTGAAATGTAAAAATTTGTGTCCTGTAAAAGGTGTTTTGCTTTGTAATTTGTTTTATAAAATGTTCCATAGAGTGAATTGTCTTTTGTTTGTACTTCCCGCCACCGTACAATACAGATTCAGACAAAACCATTCAACATCATTCGCATTAATAGAATCAAGAGGAAATCACAAAGCAGTTGGGGTATTTTGGACTACAAATAAGCATTTGACACAATAAATCATGAAATACTGATCAATAAACTAGAACGATATGCATCAGGGGGATCGTATCGTAGGCAACAATTTTGAAGTTGGGGGAGTTTTAATCATCATGCTTGGACATTGCTTGTGGCATCCCCCAGGGGTCAGTTTGGGTCCTAATCTGTTTATTTAATACATTAATGACATACTGTATGTAAAGTCTCTAATAAACTGAAGCTGTCTTATTTGCAGATGATAACAATATTCTTTGTTCAGGTGAGAATCTACAATTATTAGAGGTTATTACTACAGAAATGCAACAATTAAAAAAGTGGTTTGATAGAAATAAATTGTCATTCAATTTGAATCACATAAAAAATTATTTTATTTGGTAATATAAAGCAACACAAAAATACAGCTACAAATAGATGGTGTCAACATTGAAAGAGTTTATGTATACACATTTTTGTAACAATAGATCACAGAATCAGCTGAAAAGCTCAAATGAAACAAATACAAGCCAAACTGTCAAGAAGCATTTCAATCCTAAATAAAGCAAAACATCTTCCGGATCACAAATTTCTATTGTTGTGTAAAACTTTAAACAGTTTAAATGTGGAGCTGAAGCACAAACAAGTTTTAAAAAATGTACAAAATTTGCTGCGTTATGATGGTGATTATAACGGTTGTTAATTTTTCTTTTCTGTTAGTTTTTCTAAAAGGAATGAAGGTATATATGTAAATATGTTGACAGGTATGGTGAAGGGTAAATAGGTAATGGAGAAAAAACACTAACTAAATGTATTACTACAACTATATCATTAATTAAGGAGAAGAACATGAATATAGAAGATAAAAGAAATCAATACATGTTCAAATATGTCAATGGTTGATAATGATAGACAGAAAATGATAGACTCTCTACTGCGATGGAGTGTGTCATCTTGACAAGTATAAATTGATTACACCTGTGCATGGTTGAAAAATTGCCTGTTACACGCTGAAGAAGAGCGTCGGCTCGAAACGTTCGTTTGGCAATTAAATACACAAATTTGGAGTGCTGTCCTTATCTTTTTTTAATGATGATAGATGAAATTATATTTTGCAGAAACACATTGTATTTAATTATATATTTTGTATGTTTATTGGTTTATATATATAAATGTGTATTGCAGATTCGTATTTATTTATTCGTAAATGAAGATTAAATAAGGAAGCCTGTTCAACTATTAACTACAGATTAACGGAGAGGGGTGGGATTCTATAAATTCACACTTCTTCCCACTTCTTTACGAACATGAAATTCAAATGTTCTGTTGTCTTATTTACTTTTTTTTTGTGATCTGTTTTGTTTTTTTTTATCCTGAAACAAAGGGGGAAAAAGAAAATACAAATTTGAAAAAAAAACTTCAATCAATCAAAAGAATCCCAGCAGAGAAAATGAAAGAATGAGTACACAGATGACAGTAAGATAATAGAAAAACAGTTGTTTTTAAGGCTGAGTTGACTTCATCATCTTATGTCACTAAAAATCTTATCATTTACATTTGTTTTATCCATAAGTATCCAATCAAGCTGTCACAAAAGAGCTACAGATCATTATACTCAACATGGTTTTCAAACAACCAGTCAGCCCAAAGTCCAGACACAAAGTGCAGACTTTTAGATCACTGATTTGGTCTCCTCTTCATCCTCTTCCTCTTCATCCTCCTCTTCCTCCTTCATCTCCACCATCCTGCATGGAGTAAGAAAGAAAATGTACAAAGAAACATGTTATTTATACTTTGTGTCGTTGACCAAAATGTTCATAAATAAAGCAACATGTCATTTTCTCTGAAGGAGAAGACGGTCCGGCTTTAAAATGTCTATTTACAAAATTTTATAATTAAAATATGAAATAAACATTCATGAACAATAGAGACATGACAACAAAGATCCATTTACCTTAAGAAAAAAACATTTAAATGATGATCATAGCTTCATCTGAAAGAATACATACTGTATATGTTGTAAATACATTTTACTCACCAATCAGGTGGGAGAAGGACCATGTTTGATCCCTGCAACAAGAGACACACTGATGATGCTTGATTAGATAGTTAGATATCAAACCACAACAACAGATGAAAAACTTCAAGATTAGTCCAGTCAGACTTGATCTGGTTCACTCTGAATGATTAACCCAGCTTCTCATATGGAAATCAAACCTGAGTTTTTTAATGAGATATTTCTGAACCAGCAGGAACAATAATTTTATAAATATGTGAAAATGAAGATCAATTTACCTTCTGAAGAAAAAACATTAAATGATGTTCATAGCTTCATCTGAAAGAATACATACTGTATATGTTGTAAATACATTTTACTCACTGATGAGGTGGGAGTCAGCCAAAAAACTTTGTTCTCGGACTCAAAGACGTTCCCTCAGTTGCTGCAGGCGCTGCCTTTTTTGATCCCTGCAACAAGAGACACACTAATGATGCTTGATTAGATAGTTAGATATCAAACCACAACAACAGATGAAAAACTTCAAGATTAGTCCAGTCAGACTTGATCTGGTTCACTCTGAATGATTAACCCAGCTTCTCATATGGAAATCAAACCTGAGTTTTTATGAGATATTTCTGAACCAGCAGAACAATAATTTTATAAATATGTGAAAACAAAAATCAATTTACCTTTCTGAAGAAAAAACCATTTAAATGATGTTCATAGCTTCATCTGAAAGAATACATACTGTAGATGTTGTAAATACATTTTACTCACTGATGAGGTGGGAGGTCGGCCAAAAAACTTTGTTCTCGGACTCGAAGACGTTCCCTCTGTTTCTGCAGACGTTGCCACATTTGATCCCTGCAACAAGAGACACACTGATGATGTTTCTTTATTACAAATGAAATATGAAGAGCAAAGCAGACACTGAGCAACACATTAAACACTGTGTTGTTTCTTTATTCCATGAATGACACAAAGGATCAAAGTAGAGAGGAGGTGTTGATGTTTCAGTCAAACATTTGACTTGAAACTCAACATCACTTCAACATCTTTTAAACAGGAGCATGGCGTTTGCTTTACATCAACCATGGGGGTTGTTTCATCTTGAAGGTCTTTGCACACTGAGTCTGTTTTTTTAAATGTGTTTTTCAGATCTGTAATCCGATCAAAACGTTACACAGGAACCTCACACTCTGAGTCAGATGTGTTCATTCTTCTCTTCATTCTGAAAATTGTCAGTGTGAGACAGAATGGAGTCATCGAGCCGTGAGGATGACTTTGTGATTCTTTCAGTCCTTAAAAAATAAATAAAAACCTCTGGGTCCACCCACTCCTGAAAACAAGACAAGAGCCAGGAGAGTTTCCCCTGTTGATAAAAGAGCTGCAGAATGATCAGCATCACTTCAGGTGTATTTCAGGATGTCAGAGTTTGATACGCTGCTAGCTATACTGAAACTACACATTAAAGGAACACCACCAATTTACACACAGAAACTGATCCTGAACACGGATTGGAAGGATGCAAAAAAGTTAGAAAAACAAACCTGTTGTGAAAATAATAGACAGATGAAAGTTTTCAGAGTGCAAACATGATCGACTCAACATGAGATTGTATTTGTTTTTTAAACATGCAGCAAAACAGACTCAGTGTGTGTGTGTACAAACATGACTGTCAGGATTCAATGTTGAAAACACTTACAGGACTGGGTTGCTTTTTTCAGATTTTCTAAAATTAATTAGTTGTGAGGGATAGATCAGATGAACTTGACGATTGGTCGTCATCACTGAGAATGCTGAAAAAGAGAGAAAGATTAGATAGTTAGATATCAAACCACAACAACAGATGAAAAACTTCAAGATTAGTCCAGTCAGACTTGATCTGGTTCACTCTGAATGATTAACCCAGCTTCTCATATGGAAATCAAACCTGAGTTTTTTATGAGATATTTCTGAACCAGCAGGAACAATAATTTTATAAATATGTGAAAACAAAAATCAATTTACCTTTCTGAAGAAAAAACATTTAAATGATGTTCATAGCTTCATCTGAAAGAATACATACTGTATATGTTGTAAATACATTTTACTCACTAATCAGGTGGGAGGTCGGCCAAAAAACATTTTTGTTGCATTTGAATGAGTTTCTTCTGTTTCTGCAGAAGTCGCCATGTTTGATACCTGCAACCAAGAGACACATTGATGATGTTTCTTTATTACAAATGAAATATGAAGAGCAAAGCAGACACTGAGCAACACATTAAACACTGTGTTGTTTCTTTATTCCATGAATGACACAAAGGATCAAAGTAGAGAGGAGGTGTTGATGTTTCAGTCAAACATTTGACTTGAAAACTCAACATCACTTCAACATCTTTTAAACAGGAGCATGGCGTTTGCTTTACATCAACCATGGGGGTTGTTTCATCTTTAAGGTCTTTGCACACTGAGTCTGTTTTTTTAAAATGTGTTTTTCAGATCTGTAATCCGATCAAAACGTTACACAGGAACCTCACACTCTGAGTCAGATGTGTTCAAACAGAAAAACAAACCTGTTGTGAAAATAATAAAGACAGATGAAAGTTTTCAGAGTGCAAACATGATCGACTCAACATGAGATTGTATTTGTTTTTTAAACATGCAGCAAAACGGACTCAGTGTGTGTGTGTACAAACATGACTGTCAGGATTCAATGTTGAAAACACTTACTTGTTTGGGTCACTTTTTTCTAGTTTCTTTAAAGCAATCATTTTTCCATTTGACCAATCACTGTGGAGGGATGGATCAGATGAACTTGATGATTGGTCGTCATCACTGAGAAAGCTGAAAAAAGAGAGAAAGATTGGATAGTTAGATATCAAACCACACAACAACAGATGAAAAACTAAAACTTCTAAATTAGACATCGATCCAGTAAGACTTGATTTAGTTCACTCTGAATGATAAACTCCTGATTCTTACATGAACTTTAAACCTGATCAACCTGACTATTTGGAACATTTCTGGACCAACAGCAACAACAAGTTTGAAAAAAAAATAAACATTTAAAGGAAATCCATAACTTCATCAAAACAAAGAACTTCAGAGAGAATGTGTGTGTTGTTAATCATCATCCAGTGTTTGATGAAAGTAGCAGCGTGTTGAGATTTGAAATAAGAAAATTTCTTAAGGTGTAATATGTAGATTTTTAAAAATTCACTAAACATCAGTTGTATTTTTTTGTTGATTACTAAGTTGAGTGGTTAGTGCGCGCCCAATATATAGAGGGTTTGAATCCGACCTGTGGCTCCTTTCCGCATGTCACTCCCCACTCTCTGTCCCTGATTTCCAAATCTATCCACTTATCTGTCCTCAAACGAAATCTTTAAAAAATAAATAAAAAAATGTGATACTCAAGTCCGTGTGAAAGCACTCGATGTCAGTTTTAACTGATACGTTAAGCCTCATCAAAATATTGATATTTTAAAACTGTCAGTCTGAATAAGATGTAAGCACATTTCACTCACAGACTGACAGATGAGTATCCTGACTCATTATCATCATCTGCTGCTTCAGCGCATCTATCATCGATTGGGAGAAGGTCGAGTTGGGCCTGTAACAATAAACACGGTTATGATGCAACTTCACCAAAAAAAGTTCATATCAAAAGAAAATCCAGTTATTTTTAAATATGATATAAAACAGTGGAATCAGTCAAAAGAGGTTATGAGTTTTCTTTATCATTTTATAAAATGTTCAACAAACAGGTGACTGATGACCTAGCAGATCGTAACGTCTCATGTATGGAGGCTAAAGCCATCCAAGTGGAAGACCCGGGTTCAACCTTTTTGACAAAAAGAGTCTGCTTATGACGCTATAATGTCAATTTTGCCTTTCTAATTTGACTGTTTGTGATCAAACCACATGCAGCAACTGGTCCTTACAGGGAAACTATGAAGAATGCATCAGATTTTCCTTTTAGAATATGATATAAAGCAGATTGTGTTCGCTCTGAATGGATGTCTCCTCTTTAAAAAGAAGCCTCCTCTTTTCTCTTGACTATGTCGAGTTGTTTAAATCATCTAGAAAGGAGGTCGTTTTTATTGACTTTGTGAATATGTTCAGCACAGAGAACAGGATTAAACCAGATGAACTTTGATTTGAAGTATGCTGTTTTCTCTTCAGGTCAAACACTAACAGCAGAATTGTTCACTCATATAGATGTTAAAAATCTTAATAACATGATGTTGACTTACTCATTAAGCCAGTGTTGTAACCTGCGGTTCCTCAGTGAGTCAGACATACTGAGTACTTCAGAGTCTGGTCTCTGCGCGGCTCTGGGCTGAAAAAGAAAATGCAGAGTTAGGATTCTCCATTTCCTCCTTAACAGACACACACAAATAAACACCTTTATCATTATAGAAGGAAACTGTTGTGCCTCAGCCACTCCACAAATGGAGGTCGGTGCTCTCAGAGAAGGACTTTAAGACGTACTGAATTATATTTTTTTTACCTAAATCACAACTTTAAAACAGAGCACACTGATCTGACTGTGTTTTTATTTCAAGTTCAGAACAACCTTAAAAACTAAAACATTTGTTTATATTAAAGCTTAATTTGAAAAATAAATAAATAAATCAAAGTCTGCCTGCACCGTCAGGGTCAGTGAATGCTGCAGATTAAAGTCATGAAGCTCACAGCCGACTGAGCAGAGAATCAGTACAGAAGATATACAAATATTAAGACTTATTTCAAATGTAAAACAAGAACACACGTCATGATTTTCCCTTTAAAAGTCTAAAAAACAAACAATAAAATAAACTACATCTGATTAGTTTGTGGATTTAGAAACACTGGATGGTACAACAGGCCTAGTCTACATTTATTAAAAGTTATTTATTTAAACAGACTTCTAAAATAAACATCTGGAAGCGCTGGTAGTCTGGTGATCGACCTGTTCTCTCTCTCTCTCTACTGTCCTGTCTTAAAATGAAGGCTTGAAAAACCCAAAATAAACCTTTTTGTCTAACCTAAAAAAGTTATTCAAACTAAAGTGTAGGTTTAAATAATGACGTCAAATTGTCCTTTAATATTAATCAACTTTAATGTTTTCTAAAAGTTATCAATATGTAGACTAACAAATGTTATCTTAGGTTTTATAGCGTAAAGGCTGCTGACGTGTTTCCTTATTTTGTACCCGAGCTTCTGAAGATATGAAAAAGTAAACACCATTAAACCAACTTCTAAATACTGAAATAAAGCTTATGAAGAATTCTTTACCCGTATGAGTTCACTCAAACTCAGATTAATTTCTCAGTTTCGTCTAAAAATGTTGTTTGTTTACAATCCGTATCTCTCAGGCCTCACAGGATGTATCTCTTCAACATCAGCGGTGGTAAAAACACAGATATAAAATAAAGAAAACACGTCCTCTATACATTTTCTGACAAACTTTCCAAACAGAAGGACACAAATAAATAAATTACTTTCTTTAAGGTGTATAAAACATGCATAGACGTTACCTTTAGATGGAGAAATACAAAGTGCGACTCAGCTTGATAATGAAAGTAATTCAGCGACCTTCAACCAAACCACACTTGTTCTTCTTTAACCCCTTAACATTACACAGACTACATTAAAGAGGAAGAAGCTGCAGGAGAACAGATCTGAACCCAGTTCATGTATAAACCATGTTCAGTAGGTTGTCTTTACCCAAAGTGTTTTCTTAAATAGCTCTGATTTTATGAATATTATTGACTCTGGTGCTCCAGAAGCTTCTTCCAGAGAATGTGTGACTACTGCTCAGTCTGTGTTTTTAACAGAGCAGACACTAATGTGATGTTAGTGTAACAGTGTTAATGATTCCACTTATTTCACTAGCTTTGATTGTGCTGATACAGTTTTACAATGTAGGACTTAAAACATCACAACTTCACAACTTGGATATAATCGACATTTCCCACTCCTCATTAAGACTTTTAATGGCCCTTATAGCTGTCATCAGGATCAGTTAGGCCTGCACACTTTAAGTTCTTCATTTTGAGTTAAATATAACAATAATATACATTTTTAATAAAACAATATTTTCATTATAAAACATTAATATAATGAAGAATATCTCTATAAGAGGAGCTTTCTGTTATTTCTGTGGTTGGGGGCGGGACATCATTAAGAGTTGTGTTCCTCACCTGGCCAGGAGAGGCAGAGCACGTGGCAGGTTGATCACAGGAGGATGTTTGAGAGTGGTTCTGTGTATCATTCAAAAGTTTAATAAAGAGAAGACTGACCCATGAGTGAAGTTTCCTTTGAGGTGAACTGTTGTGTTCTGGTTGTTGTTTCTATATTATAGCCTACCTGAAGCTAATGGCTAATATGTTAATAGTAAAGCTAATGGCTAACAGGCTAAACCAGTGGCAATCATGATAGCATGAATGACAGCCTGCCATTGTAGTCCATGTTTAAAAAGCTACATTGTGTAAATATGTCAATTTGTGTTTGTGACATGTTTTTGATGCTCTCTTATTTTATGATTTGTATATTTTGTTTAGTTCTCACAGCATGATTGATGGCATGGACATGCTCATGAATACCTGTAGCTCAAAGAACACCTTGGTTTCATGATTTCAACTTGAGGTTAGTAACAGCCATTCACGTGCTCATAACTCGTAAACGGGACATTTCCGAGGAGCACATCAAGGCAGCGTAGTCTCACCCCTGTTCTTCTTAAACCACACCCCTCAAATGAATAAAAATGTAAACTACATACCTGATGTTCTTCATTCTGCCGCTGAAGCACAAAGGAGCTCTGTGCTACGTCTTCTAGCGTCCATGTTTGTTGCTTTGTGTGCTTATGAAAAGTGTCATCAGTAGAAGTGACGATATAGGATAGGATAGGATAGTACTTTATTGATCCCCATAGGAGAAATTCGGAAGTTGCAGCAGCAGACAAGGTCATACAGAATACAATATAATCAGGTTAATGAGTGGATGTTGTTTGCAAATTTAAAAAAACATACAATTAATGAAATACATTACTTGGCTTCACAGACCACACCACTGCAAATTACCTATTGATGGCCATATGATGGCTCCTACACGTGTATATACCTTTATAAAAGGAGAGATTCAAGTTTAGCATTGTTTGAAAAAAACATGGAAAGTTGTTTATCGTTTCTCTACTGAAATAAAGGTGGGTATGTCGTGATTGGCTGAATAGGAAGGAGACATCTGATTGGCTACAGACATTTCCCTGCTGTAAAAAATGTAATTGTGAAAAAAAATCATTCATTATTTTAAATGTTTCATGATTAAAGATAGATGATGATGAATGTGCCGTCACTCAATGATGTTTAGATCCCAACTCCAGCAAACTTCTGGGATGTAGGGAGACTCGACCAGGCCCCTTTCCTGATAAAAACCCATAGACAGAACTTCAATTACAGACAGTACTACTAAAAGGTCCATTTAGAGTTGTATAATCTTTCGGTTCATAACATCTGTTCAAAGTGAAAAAAGGATGCACAACACGATTTCTACAAGATGTATAAATGACAAAAAAGCTGCAAGATGGTGGTGACCTCTTACAAATAATCCAAGCGCTGTCTCAAACAGTCACTCATAACTGATGAAACTTTATTAGCAGAATCAGCTTTATTGTCCAGATATGCTTAATCACACAAGGAATTTTACTTTGGTAAACTGTGCTCTCTTTGTACAAAGGTATAATATTAAATATCAACAATAAACAAATAAGCAAAGACTAATATGTACAAGGCTAAATAGGCTAAATGCACAAAAACGTCCAATAACTGGGAACTGGCTCCTTGAGCTCCTCTCTCTCTCTTCCTCTTTCTCTCTCTGAATTCATATCATATGACTGCATGTTGAAAAGTATCTGCTGCGTTCACATTTCAGCTCACCCTGAAAAAGGGGACGTCAGCAAAACGTGACTTTTGAAACACTCAAGACCAGCAAGACGTTTTCTCAAAAGGGGAATTCGCTGACTTTCAACCAGCTGCGTACCACAAGTCCTATTCGGACTGCTGTTTCAATATTTACGTCCCTGTGATGGTTCACCTTCAATCTGAATGTTGCAGAGGTGTAATGTGGGGAAGAAGTGATCCCCCTCTGTACCATCTTCAGAGGTAGTAACACAGAAGCATTACAGCAGCTGAAAGAACAGTGCTGTGTGTGTGTGTGTGTGTGTGTGTGTGTGTGTGTGTGTGTGTGTGTGTGTGCATGATAATGTATGCGTGGTCATGGAAAAATTTGTACTAATTCCAGTGACATTTGAATGTTGATAAAATCTTACCTGAAACAAATGTATAGTTCAGCAGAATGTTTTTTCTTGGGCCTAAATTTGTTGGGAAGAGAGAGGGAGAGAGATTAGATCGTTAGATATTAAACATTAGCAACTGCTGAACAGAGAAATCGCAAAGTAGGAATATGTGCAGTCAAAGTTAATTGTCTTCAATCAGAAGAGGTTTCCCATGCTTCTCACATAATATGAAACCTTGTGGCCTATAGGGCTCAACAGTGTGGATCCAGAAGTAGAACTCCCATTCATTTTCTCCATTGTGGATTTGATTATTAGCCATAACATCATCATAACCATCCAAAGTAGACTGACCACGAGCTACATGAGTGCGAAACGATGGCATGCTCCTGTAGGAGACCCAAGTTTGAATGATATTAACCTGATGATATTAAAACGTGGTTTATTCCCAATCGGGGAAAAGAACTACACTACCCACGATCAGTGAGCGTCACAGCGACGTCTCTGATTGGTGGAGACAAAGGCAATGTTTTCCACTCCTCTGCGCCAAATGTGAACGTGATAGTTTAACTAGCAGGCTATAACGATGACAAAAGTTACATTTAAGAAGAAGCAGTATCACTCTGAATGGATTGTTGGATGGGTAGAAAATTATATACATCGTCTTGTACCTTTATCCTATTCCCCTACCCACATGGGGGAGGGGTTACTGCCCTTTGTGATGTCATGAAGGGAAAATCTCCAAACAGCCTGTTAGAACACATTTTCTGAAAAGTGGAGCAGCTAAAGACGGAGAGGATGAACTTCTCCCTTTATTCTTAATATTGGGGGGTTTGGAGACAGACTAGCGACACATATTACTGTTAGAAACACTTGTTAAAGTGTATTTTAAATATGTAACCTTTAATTTATGATATAAAGTCTTTACAGTCAGATGATAACGAGACGCCAAACATGTCTCAGGGGACCAGGGTGTGTGTGTGTGTGTGTGTGTGTGTGTGTGTGTAATAATTGCAATGTCATTTAAAGATTGATTAAATCTTACCTTAGAGATGATCTTTTTTCTTTGAAGGACCCGACAGTTGACATCATGCAGTGGTTCAGGTCAGTGTAAGACTACATGTAACTGTAAGACAGTTTGAAGATTGCAATGTTAAACATCCAGACCCAACAAATGCTGAAAAGTACAAATTAGGAATCAGTCCAGTAAAAGTTGACTGTGTTCATTCCAAGGTTAGGATTGTTAACGAAATCAAACAAATAACAAAAACTCAAGTGTAAAAAACATTTTCATTAACTGAAACTAAAATTTAAAACAACTTTACCAAAAACATAACAGAAACAGTATTGTGTAAAAAAAATAAAATAAAATAAAAAAAGACCTAAAATAAAATCATAGAGAAAATGTCTTAAGTTTCTGTCTCTGACACAAACGTACAGAGTGACACTCGGCCTGTCATTACATGTTGTCTCGGGTATTTCAGTTTCAATTTTGGATAAACTCACTGACCGCACAAGTTAAAACTTTTTTCACTGACTCACATAATATGTCTAAGGTTCATAAAAAAAAAAGTAGCTTGATATGTTCTCTGAAAGATTTACGATACAGAGACCAACAAAATGGGGGGCGGCAGTAACTCAGTCTGTAGGGGCTTAGGTTGGGAACCAGAGGGTCGCCTGTTCAAGTCCCGGTGCGGACCAAATCTGGAAGTTTGTCTGGTAGCTGGAGAGGTGCCAGATAGCTTCCCGAGCACTGCCGAGGTGCCCTTCAGCAAGGCACCGAACCCCCAACTGCTCTGATGCGCTCTCTGCTTAGCAGCTTATAACAGCCCCACTCTGACATCTTTCCACCAATGCATGTCCACAGGTCCTGTTTGTGCATGTGTGTGAGAAGCATGTCCCTATAAATATCAGAGTGTGAAACCTCAGGGATTAATTAAGTATATCAAAAAATAAATAAAACTAAGCATTTACAAAAAATAAAACAGTATAATATAATAATAATATAATATAAATAAAAACAGTATGGATTCTGTATGTGCAGACGAGACACACCTGTTTCCAATCTGCTCGTCAAAATCCCTCTCCTCTCAGAGCATTAGCGTAAAAGATCCTAGGAAGGATTTTTAGTTCAGGAACATTCTCAGGGCAACTCTTTTACAAGGATCTTGTCTTAACTTTAAGGGAAATTCTTAGAAAATGTCATGATTCTCCAAATTGTCTTAAAATTTGGTCACTAAGAGCAACTCTTCGTATTTTGGAGGATTGTTATGTCAAAACTATTTGAATATTCGTACAGATCCACAAATGTGTAAATAGAGATCCACAAATGCACACACAGATCCACAAATGTGTAAAAAAAAGAAAAATCCACAAATGCGTGTACTAATCTGCAAATCTGTAGACCAATTTCTAAATGTTTACTTATTTATTAATGGCAGTGAACTTTTTCAGCTGTAAATCCTGAAAATACACAAATGACCTCTTACAACTGAGGCCTCTCCATTGGCTGTCATTTTACATACATTTTACAACACTCCTGTAATGTTGATGGCAGCTTTAAGTGAAGCAACAACGCCATCTATGGGTGACACATTTATATAGAGCAGTCATGTAGCTCAGTCATGGTTAGTTAGTCACTGTTTGTGCATGTAACCGGCAGCCTCTGGATTAAAGCCTATACATTGCTACGTCGTTGTCCGCCTGCTTCATCTCGGGGTTTTACAAACATTACAACTCCTGCCGTGCAAAATCCACAAATGCGCACACATATCTTCAAATGTGTGTCTGTACTTTTTGAGAAATCCTTGAGAAGTACTTTATATCACTTGTGCATGTAGTCTAGGAAGTACTAACTCCAACCATATCAGAATCATTTTCTACTTATGGAAGAATTGTTTTTTACAAGACATCAAAGTCAGAAAAAAGAGTCATTATAGTGATTTATAAGGGACTTTGACAATGGATTTCTCAAAAAGTACACAGTAAAAGTACTTCATAGTACAGGTGCATGTAGTCTAGGAAGTACTTAGTCCAACCATATCAGAATCATGGTATACTTATGTAAGAAAATATATATAATTATTTTTTTCTCCAAGAAAACTGTTTTTTTTTTGTTTTTTTTTCAATTGTGAACACCTTATTTTGAAAAACGGAACTCGCAGACTCGCAGAATTATTCTCATACTAACTTCTCCGACCTCTGCAGCTATTCCCTGTATTGTATTCTGTTTACTCATGTTTCATACACGTGTATCTCATAGTCAGTTTTATGGTAAGACCTAGACATTTAGCACTTGACGTCATCGCTCTCTCTGTCTGTTCCTCCTGCTCGCTCTGCAGTCCGGAGCATTTACCATAAAGATCAGAATACGTGGGCACTTCAAATTTAGGGGCGGCTCACTTCACCATGTAAACTCGAGGAGCGGCAGTCAAGCCAGCCTGTGAGCCTGAGCTCAGGGCAGCAAACCTTACTAATGTTTTTAGGAGCGAGAGTGAAGCTAAACGAGGTAATAACAAGAAACCAGGCAAAAAATAAAAAGTATGTCAACATTAACAAACATATTTTGCCCATCATGAGCATTTTACAACTCGGAAACACGTTTTGCCTATGTTTCCGACACCAAAGATTTCTGACTCTATCCACTGTCCTGTCGTGAAAATAAAGGCATAAAAAGCCTCGAAAACAAAGCATTGCATTTGGTAATAGTATGCTTTTTCTCTCCTATAGGTCTTAGACTAACAGTTGAATTTAAGTTCACATTTTAAGTGACATATTCATGCTCTGTACCTTACAATGATAGTGATTCAGATCATCCCAAACACTGCAGGAACTTTTGACTTCTATTACAAATCAGAGAAGACCCACACGCAGAATCACAGGGCAGAGGCAGGAGTAAGGCACAAACTGAGAGTTTACTGAAGTTTTCAGGAAGAGCAAAACTCAGTCCGTCCCAGAGGTCAAAACCAAAAATGAGGATAACCAGGCAGAAGTACAGAGGCATCAGGCAAAAACTCAAAACAGTGCGTTTGATGCTGGACAGGACAGGATTATGGAATAAATACTCATAAAAAAATATCTTTCCTCTGGTGTATTTATAATGTATTTGTTCCGCTTTGGTTCACGTATTGTGTATTTATCCAGCTATTGATAAATCTAACTATAAACTAAATTAACATTAATTAAATACTGAACTTTAGTACAGTTTTGAGGTAATTTAGTCTACTAGCACTACCTATACCTATCCATTCTTTTGTTTGTTTTTCCTTCTTCATTTATGCCACTTAATACAGCTATACTTCACACTTATTTGGCTGTTGCTTACTTGAAAAAGTAAGTGTGAAATACTTTTACAAAGCTGGAGACAAATTTAAATTTTGGAAAACATTTTATGAATTAAAAATTACAAAAGGAAAACACTTTCACAAAGGACAAAACAAAGTTTAACGCAGTCTATTGGGCCATATTTACCTTTATTTGATAGGACAGCTGAAGAGAGACAGGAAAAGGCTTACACACTTTCAGAAAAATTCTAAAAAAAAAATCAGGATATTTCCAGGAGGAGCTGCATGTGTGAACGCAAACAACCAAATTTTTCATTCAGACTTCACCCGGAGTTTCTCCTGCCACACACCATAGTATTTTTTTCCACAGCAAATCCAAGTCAGCTGATGTGAGAACGCAGCAGGATATTCTCTGGAGAATTCACCTCGAGCCAATGGGAGGGGGGAGTGACGTGTATACTGTGACTGCTGCACGGTGCATAAAGTGTATACACCGTACGATCTCCATGCAGGTAATTAAACGACTGCATTAAGTTTTCTGTTTGTCAGTATGTTGTTCTCACTCTTTAGTTGACATTGTGATACAGGAATAGTCTGCATATGTGAAAACAGGTTAAGTGACCGCTTCTGGCATTTGGTACATTCCCTTTCCGTCAAGATTCTGGCATTTGTAAATTCCTCTCAGCGCTTGTAAATGTGTTTGACACCTTTTAAATTTGTTTTCTAAAATGTAAATAATTATTTCCAGAGAGTGAATTTGTCTTTTGGTTTGTACTTCCCAGCCTCCGTACAATACAGATTCAGACAAACCATTCCACATCATTCGCATTAATAGAATCAAGAGGAAATCACAAAGCAGTTGGGGTATTTTTGGACTACAAATAAGCATTTGACACAATAAATCATGAAATACTGATCAATAAACTAGAACGATGTGGCATCAGGGGGGATCGTATCGTAGGCAACAATTTGTGAAGTTGGGGGAGTTTTAATCATCGTGCTTGGACATTGCTTGTGGCATCCCCCAGGGGTCAGTGTTGGGTCCTAATCTGTTTATTTAATACATTAATGACATACTGTATGTAAAGCCTCTAATAAACTGAAGCTGGTCTTATTTGCAGATGATAACAATATTCTTTGTTCAGGTGAGAATCTACAATTATTAGAGGTTATTACTACAGAAATGGAAACAATTAAAAAAGTGCTTTGATAGAAATAAATTGTCATTAAATTTGAATCACATAAAAATTATTTTATTTGGTAAATATAAAGCAAACACAAAAATACAGCTACAAATAGATGGTGTCAACATTGAAAGAATTTATGTATACACATTTGTTGGGGTAACAATAGATAAATAAATCACAAATCTCTCCATACCCTCTACAGTACACTTGTTTTACCATATTTAAGTTACTGAGAGGAGGTTCGGGGCAACACATAAAAGTTAACCGCATTCACTCTCCGTACTTCAGAAAAGAGCCATAGGCTTCGTTCATAACGCTGGATATTGGGATCACACTCAGTCATTATTCTTGCAGTCAAAAACACTCAAACTCACAGAATTTCAAATAGCACAAATACTGTACAAAGAAAAAAAACTATTTACTACCAGCAAATATCCCAAAACTATTCTTTGATAGAGAGGGGGGGTTACAATATGGAGACAACTGAATCTCAAAATTCTGGCCACACGCACAACATTCAGAAGTTTTTCTGTTTCTATTGTTGGCATAAAACTTTGTAACAGTTTAAATGTGGAGCTGAAGCCAAGTCCAAGCACAAACAACTTTTAAAACATGTACAAAAAAAAAAAAAACATTTTCAGAAAGTATAAGGATGCAGAAGGTACTAAACATTTGCTGCGTGGTTATGATGGTGATTATAACGGTTGTTCATTTTTCTTTTCTGTTTGTTTTTCTAAAAGGAATGAAGGTATATATGTAAATATGTTGACAGGTATGGTGAAGGGTAAATAGGTAATGGAGAAAAAACACTAACTTAAATGTATTACTACAAACTGTATATCATTAATTAAGGGAG